TGCGCCGGGTTGAGTTCCGAACCAGGTTTGCTGCGTCAGTTGGAGGCTCGTCTGCTCTGGCACCGTCTCCACAGTGAAGAGGACGGCAAGCAGAGTTGTCAAGAAACCGCAAATAATAGCCAGGGTCTGCGCAAGTGTCAATGCCCAGATGCGACGACGGAAAGAGTGGTAAAGTGCCCGGATTCCAAGCATGTCGAGTAAGGAGCAGTCGACCTCCTCCACGCTGCATGGCCGAGAAGACAGACATGAAAGAAGTGCGAGGTTCCGATAAATATGATCGCATGAGCTAACATATCCAGAAACGATAAGGGCGACTGTAGCTGGTAGCGAAGTCCAAAGGAGGTGCCAGTAGCCGTCTTCATTCACATCGACGAATCCGTTAGATGTTTCGGACAGACGCAGTGTGTAGATGAGACCGGCTGCAAGGATGGCAACGAAGATGACGAAGGGCGCCCGAATCCAAAGCCTGAGAGCCGTCGGAGTAAATCTGCACCGTCTCCATACAGCTGAGATGTCGATGAGCGCCGAAGATTCAACGCCTTCGACGAATTTTGGATGATCACGGAAGAAGATGAGATTGCCCACCATAGTTGCGGGGTCTCGATGCCAGACAGCCGTGCGACGCCTGAAGCGTATGGCAACTAAGAAGGCGATGCAAGTACTCAGTGCGGATAGTACGATCATGACCACGCACACCAATTGGTTGACAATCAACTTGTCAGTGCTCTCCAGGAAAGCCCCATCATGCTTGAAGCTGTCGGGTTCACGAAGAAGATAGTGCCCCAAGAAGGGACCTAGCGTCTGCGTCAGGTTCTTTACAGAGTCGTATAAGTTGTCCGTGGTGATCAAGCTGGCATCTCCTGAGTCGTAGTCATAACCCCAGAATAACTGGTTTGCTTTGAGGGGTCCGGCCGTGTTCGTTTTGTATGTGTCGGGCACAAAATGTCCTCCCATGTTTTCTGGGATCGACTTGTAGAGCAGCTTCCACGTGTCTGCCGCGACGATGGTCTTTGGCTGGTCTTCTAGCACGGTGATCTTTGGTATGATACCGTCGTCCACGACCTCAACTTTTGATAACCATGCAGTCGGCGAGCACAGCACGGCAGCGCCGTCCGTGAGGTACATCCTTGAGGAGTTGGTTGCCGATCTATCGAAGCGACCCATCCAGAACACGAACTGCGTACTTTGGTCGGGCAGGTTGCGGCATGGTCGCCTGGGAGAAAGAGTGTCATTCACGGTGCCCCAGGCCTCCCAAGAGCGGCCACTATGGATGCTTGGCTGCGGAACTTCGTAGTTGATGACCGGTATCTCAGCATCGCAGCCTTCGAACGTGAGATTCACACCAACGGTGGTGACGATGTCTCCATCTTTCCCTTCGCTGTAGGTTGTGCTCCATGTTGAGTGGCTCTGCATCTTCAAACACTGCATGTCCGAGAAAAAGGCATCCACAACAGCCGTCATTGGTGACTCAGAGGTTCCTCTGGCAGTACCGTTCACTTCCCGGAATGTCTGATATGCGGCTGTTTTGCTGACCCCAAAGGGATACAACATGTCGAAATCCTTCATCGCTCGAGCCGCATAGTAAGGTGTGGTGTCATCGGTGTCATCTAGATAGCCCACGTTGAAGGAGTCGAGGACATCCGTGGTAATGTTGCTTGGTATCTCAACCGTCGCAAGGCCATACAGCGCAGGTGCCATGATGATTTGGGCTTTGAGAATAAAACCAATCGTCGTGGCCAGAAACACCAAATAGTGTTTGTGCTGCAGAGACTGAATCAGGGCCACGAATGCCGACATCGCTGTGTAGTCGAGCGCGTAGCCGTCTTTGCCCAGGGGCATGTTTTGGCGCATGGCAATCCACGGCATATACCGCATAGCCTGCAGTTCCACTCGTGCCCATAGAACAGCAAGAAGGGCGAGAGCTTGCCGAAAGTTAGTTTCTCGAACAACGTACTGAGATGCTGGTGATGAGACGCTTACCTGCAACGGGCCCGATTCGCCAGGCGTAAACCAAATTCGCCTGAGTCTTGACGAGGCCATCATGTTGATTGCTGTACCGCATCATGAACACCAGGCCCGCCGTCATGAGGAGGAAGAAGACGGCAAAGGTACCGACAGACTGAGGTCGCAGCCACTTGGGTCTCCAGGTTACACTGCGGTGAAGCCTGCCTTTCTCAGCATCGTTTGCATCGCTGACGCTAACGGCACGAGTTCTCGGCTCATCGTATTTCGTCTCGGGCAGCTTCTCGCTGTTCTGTGGAGGCGGACTCTCCGGCGATTCTTTTGGCGATGCTTGGCGAAGGACAGTGAACTGCTCCTCGTCGCCTGTTCCATACTCTCTCGTCGGCGGTCTCGAGTGTGTGTCGATGGTCAGGCCGTGTGTCGACTGGGCAAAGACGGCCAACTCCTCCGCAGTCGGTACGACCGTCTTTGCGATTGGTTTCCGAGGGATCGAGTATCTCTTGACTGTGTTCCCACTCAAGGCTTGGTGCCCGGCGGCGATTGTATCCATGATCCTAGCTTCTCAATCTCGACCGCTGGCGGGAACGAAGGATTTCCATCTGGCAGATGAGACAAAAAGGCACAGCAACAGCTTTCGTTTCTTTTGGTGGCACAGCGTCCCGCGCCGGAGGAGCGGGTAAGAATCTTTTGTAGCATGCCGGCGGCCTGTTCTTGCAGCAAGGCTAGATGGAGTCGAGTCGTTCGTGTGGGTGGACCTCTTGCGCGAGAGATAATTAAGCGCCCGCGATCAGGTTTGAAACGCAGTTTGGGGGCTGTGATGATGGAACAGAGAAACACACAGTGCGACCAGGCAGTGGCCCGCTCTCCGTGGGACGCCTGCAAGGCTGGGTGCATGCAGTCACAGGGGCCAAATGCTACTCGATGTTGGTATTGCAGGGGATCTGTAGGAGACGATGAGGCAGGTGAGCGGCGCAGTCAGAAAATAGTGAGAGCTGAGTTGTTGGTGCACAGTGCCTGAAGACGATGTCGCGACATTGACGAAAGAGGAATGGGCCGGCCCTGACGATCGGATGCTGTGCTGGGTGAGCAAGGCTGGTGAAGCGAAATGAGAGGAAATGTTTGGGGACTTTGCAGCCTGGACAGACCAGGTTTGTGAGAGTGGTTGGAGTATCCGTACCTATCGTGCCTAGATGGCTACGACCTGCCCGGTTGGGATGGGGAGGCTGACAGCGGAGATTGGATCGGGAAAGCGCAGACTTTTACGAGGCGAGTCGCGATATTATGTTGAGGAAGGAGAGATGAATGATAGCACGCGCCATGCAGGAAGGCGCGAGCAATCCAATGTTTCTGACAGCAGGCACGGTGCGGGCCGAAGCTCGGGCATCCACCAGCCCGGCGGTGCGGATTCTACGGCGTTTGCAGCACGGCGTCACGGCCCCACCAGGGAGGCCGGTATCCAGGTGAAGGGTAAGGCACTTCCAGCTGCTGCCGCTGGGCCAGATGGCAGTGCGACGATCTCATCGGCGCATGAGGCGGCATCTGGCAGAACTGCCAAGTACGTAGAGACGACTCAGGTCTGGTCTCACAGCGGATGAACGGTCTTCATTGCCTGTTTCTCCGAGGCAAGCATGCGGCGCAGCGGCTGCGGTGGAGGTTGCCCGCATGACCTGAGCAAGCTCACAGAACACTCCACAAAGCTGGTGCCGGATCTGGCAGCGACATGTTCCGTTTCTACAATATTAGTATGCCTTACCTAGATGATCATAGAAAGCCATCAGTCGGAAAAAAAGGGCAACAAGCAATGTCGATGCCAACCCAGCCGGATTCCCCATCGCCAGTCAAGCTAATTTGACTGCTGCAATACCCCTCGTCCATCACAGCATCATCCTTCCACTTTTTCCCAGTAACCAGGCCTGGACCGGCCTTACAGTGGACTCGTGCAGTGGACCAACGGCGCAGTGCAGCGGGCCCCCATCCAAAGACCCTTCATGGGTAAACAGCAGCTTAATGGGCTCTAGCTTGCCGGTTCGCGAGGGCCGCCAACCGGCAGGGGCGGCGCCACCCAATTTGAAGCCGGCGATAAGGACACGTGGAGCGCCGATAAGACACGCGACCGGGTCTCAGCGCTTAACAATAAAACCTGGCCGCCACTTTTTTCTTTTTTGTGTGTTTCTCGTCGGATTGATTGACTGCTTATTACGCCTTCTTAAGAAGTTCTTTATCTGCAGCCCCAGGACATGGTGTTGCATAATTTGGGTAATCAACGTTAACCATAATCCCCAAGCGCGGCATTGACGGCAGACCTGGTTGGTGGTCACTTGCACTTTCCCGTCCAACTTTCCACCTTTACCCTTACCCTTCCCTTTCCTCGTCATCTCGTCTGGTCTGGTCTGGTCTGGTCAGTGGTCAGTCACATCATCAGCTGGACCTTTAGCTGGATTCAATCAGCAGGCCCCCATCCATTGTGTGTCGCAGCTGCCAGCCCGCCCCCATCTGTTCGTCTATCTGGCCCCAGCCCAGCCCTCCTCCTCCTCTTTCGTTTGCTCCCCTCCACCTCCCCCTCCCCCTCGTCTCTTTCTCCCCTCTCTCCCAGCCTGTCATCACCCTCGTCACCCTCGTCGCCCTTGCACCAGTTGCATCACACAACCCAGGCAAGGAGACAGACAAAAAGATTGAGCGCAGAACACCAACGCAAACAACGCTAAACAGCACCAACACGCAGCGCTGGCCAGTCCGTGTCACACCGCCACCTGCGCTCGCTCACACGCCTTTGCGCCGTATCCGCACCCAACACCACGAATTTCCACCCTCGCGCTGCACTCTACTGCACCTCCAGCGCCGTCCAGACCGTCGGCTCCAGATTTCTCGCCGTCGTGTCCAGTCATCGCTCATCGCTGCCCCAATCCTGTTTCCTCTCCCGCCACCGCTCATCCAGCGCACTCGCCAACCTTGCCAGAAACCCACACCATCGCAGCCCGATTTGCTCCCAGAATCCAGGAACCAGTTCACTAGGAGAAAAAATAGACCAGCAAGGAAAAATGGCCTCCATCGTCACGGACGTCTTCGATGCCCTCTGGGACTTTAATACCCACGTCACCCTCTTTGGGCGCATGATGTTCCTCTGGTCCTTTGTCCTTCTCGGTCTCATCATTGCTGCTCAGGTTTCCCAGTACGGCGAGCCTGACCATACCAGAATTCAGTGGGTGCGCTTGACTGACGAGTCTCGGTAAGTCTGTCTTTGGTTGTCTTGTCTTGCTTTTTCTGCTTTCCCTTCCCTTCGAAACCACCACCTCGTGTCTCGTCCCTTTTCGTCTGTATCACATCCAAATGTCCCTTCCGATCAACCCATGCACCATCACCCGCAACACAACACGCACTACACATCGGCTCTTCTCTCCGGACGTCTGAACTCCGTCTGAACTCGTCCCATCCATCCATCCCTTCTTTCCGCCCTACCTAACCTAACCTACACCTACCTGGCTTTACCCTCCACGCCCACCGTTTCAACCCGCGCCTCGCATTGCATTACATTTCTTTGTCTCTTTTGTCCCGCCCGCCGCCAGCGGGAAATCCGTGCGTCAACCGCAAAAAAGCCCGTTCCCTCCCCGCCATGGATCTTCCATGCCGCAAGGTTTCACCGTCTCCGCAATTCCGAGTCTCCTATTAGTAAAAGGGACACTTTGTTTGATGACATGCCACGGCTTATGGGGCACCCGCAAATAAGCAAAAAACACTCCCCCATGCGCTTTGTTCTCATATAAAGACTATTGGACGGCACCTCCTTCTGGGCTTTTGCTAACCTCCTCTCGTCTTCATGCGCCCTACAGTCCTTACTGGTATACCTTTTACGTTCTCGAAGCCTTCCTCTTCGTCTCCGGCGGATACCCAATGCTTCACGAAAAGATGTCAATGTACCTTGGTACTGGCTACGAGGATCAGATACTCAACGCCATTTGGATCGGTCTCCTCAGCGTCGAGGCCCTCATGGTCGCCGGCGTCACCGTCCTCTCCATCTCCCGCAAGCTCAAGTCCCCGCCCAAGCAGAAGACGAACTGAAAAAACCGTGACGTCTTCTCCAACGCCTTTATTTTTTGTTGCACAACTCGAAGAAAGAAAGAAAGAAAGATACCCACCCGCGATGTTGCCAGTTACTGCATCAGCCTCGGCGGCCGCCTTCAATATACTTCATTTTACGCGCATGCATTTGCATCCTTCTCCGATCGTCATCCCGAGTGACCTTTTTACCGTACGAACCGAAATGTTTCATGAAGATACCCACGAACGAAGACCATGAGAAATCGCGGCGGAAATCTGCCGACCGCGAGAAAAGCCACCATTGAGCACCGCTTCCCGTTACACACCAAGGCGCTGCACCGATTGAACGAAGACATGAGAAAGATACGAAGAGGACACATCATCCCGCCCGAAAGATGCCCTTCCGGCACCTCGCATCACGCCGGGCTGACGGTTGCGCCCGGCGTATGAGAGGTACAGGACCCTGCAGTTAGATTGCTGCATGGAGGGGTACCCGTGGCGCCCAATCGGGACAGGCTTGGCGAACGGAGGGGAGTTTCCCCGCGTATGCCATCACGACATGCGAGATCTGCCTGCATGTCGGCGACAGGACAGCTGGCCTTCCGAGGTTGACTACACCATCGCCGCGCCGCCCTTTCGGCCACGTCGCGCATCAGTGTGACGCCTCATTTGGAGAAACTTTCGGCCGGCGGGGCATGGAGAGATGATACCTTACAGCGGCGTTCCCGGCGCGGCTAAATCGCCCTGGATGAATGCTGTTGACGGCATTCTGCCCACGCCAACGATGGAATTGTGTCTGCGGCCACATGTTCTTGCCGCACTACACCTCATCTACCAAAGACATCGTCATCCACATCGCCATAATTTTAGCTGCTTCCACCACCAACAGACATACCTTCAAGTATGCCTTCAAATACAGGAGTTTACCCTCTACCGGCACACTTTGTAGACGGGCTCGTGACCTTAAGAAGCCTTATCCTATGGCCAAAAAGAAGCCTGTCCGTTACATATCGCTCCTTGACGCATCAGGACGTCTACCAGGTCTATCGACAGGTGCCGGACTGCTGTGCTTGAGGGCTTGCTTGAAGGTCAACCTGGAGATAGTCGTGCAGCAGGAGCTCTAGGGTACTTCAAACTCAAAACAATTGATGACCTTTAAATCATATCTGCCATGTCTACTCGCCTCCTGTGCTCTCTGTGCTCTGATCGACGGTCTTCGCACTCACTCCCCATCTACAACAGTCATCCAACCTTTCAACATGTCACAATCGTATAAACGCAAGATAGGAGGGATGATGAGCAACGACTCTTCTTTCTGAGTAATATACACATCCCTTGCCTGTCCGAATCCATAATCCTAACATCTAACACAAAAGCAGAACCAACGAGCCTTCCCTTGGGTATTCATTCCTACAACTCCAAAAACGATCCCGAATGACGACTTTCCTCCAACCCCATCTTCCGATGTCCCTCACTGCAAGAGCAAGTCCAAGTTAACATTAGGCCAGTACTCCTCGACCCGAACCCCCTGCGCCAGATCAACAGCCGCAAGACCGACGTTCTTGATAGCCCTCTCCACGACACGCGCCTGTTCTCTGAGCAGGACGGAGTCTCTGCCGGCGTCGGCCTGGGTGATCAGGCTCTCGGTAACGCGGCGGGCGTTGATGAGGGCTGTGAGGGTGCGGTTGAGGGTAGACCTGGAGATGATGAGGTTGTCGGGGTGGCGAGGAGGGCCGTGGAAGGCAGGAGGGGGGCCCATGAAGGGCTGGCGAGGGCCTGGGTGAGGACCAGCAGGGGGTTGAGCGGAAGGATGACGGACGCCGGCCGGGGGTCTCATGTGAGGAGGAAGAGGGTCCATGAAGGACTGGCGAGGGCCGGCGTTGGGGTGGAGGGGAGGACGAGCCACAGATGGCCGAGGAGCACCCTGGCGAGCAGCAGCAGCTGGCTGGGCTGAAGGAGGAGCAGCTGCAAGATGCTGACGAGCACCGCCGGTCGTAGGAGCAGGCTGAGCGGCCGCGGGACGAGGCGAGGGATGGCTGATCCGGCGGTCCACGGGGGTGTTTAGCAGGCCTAGCTCGGTCTTGGTGCTGGGCACATTGGAGCGGAAGCCTGTGCCGAGGTGGAAGTCTGCGTGAGGGTTCTCAAGGCCTGGTAATTCGGCTGGACGAGCATTGGGACCTTCCATCGAGGCGTTCCCACCCATGACGGGGTTTGCGGGCTGGGCTCGGTTCGAGTGGCCATTAGCAGGGCCGTTGGCGTGAGCACCGTTGGCAGACGAGGCGACGGCGAGATCAGGAGCGCCACCAGGAGCCTCGTGGAGAGCCTTACGCTTGGTTGACTTGCGCTTGGGAGGAAGAGCAGGTCTCGTCGGGAAGTGTCCCATGGGCGGCATCTTCGGGGTTCCGCTGCCGTCGGCGGGAGTCTGCTGCTGACCATTCTTGGGGTGGGCAGAGCCGTTAGATGAAGCTGGCTGGGCGGCCGGGTTGGTAGGGGCTCCATCAGCCGCGGAGATCTTCGGGGTTGCGCCGACGACATTGGCGGTTTGCTGCCGGCCAGCAGGGGGAGGAGTCGGGTTGTTGGACGAAGCCGACTGGATGGCTGGGTTGGCGAGACCTTCAGTGGTCTGCTGTCGGCCATAAACGTCGTGAGCCGCCTGGATAGCCGGGCGTACGGGGGCTCCGGGAATCTGCTGTCGGCCGGAGTTGACGGGAGCTGGCTGGATAGCCCGGTTGATAGGAGCACCAGGGGCCGCAGAGTTGGGCGCAGGAGCAGCCGAAGGAGCACGAGCCGCGACCCGAGGAACGCTAAAGTATTCCTTGCTAGCATTGATGTTCTTCTTGACGTACTCCTCCTTATCGCGAAAGAGAGCCAGCATGTCGGGAGGCAAGTCGGAGGGCGACAGAGGTCTCGTGTTCTGGGCTGAGTTAGCCTTGAAGTCCCGGACAAACTGTTCCCATGTGTTTTCATAGGAGTGTTTGTGCAGATCATCATCGGAGACAGAGAAGGGAACCTCGAAGCCGGACGCGGTGATCTCCCCGGCCAGGTCATGCAGCGCATCGGTGAAGTAGCCCAGTTGCTCCTCACCGAACTTGGGAGAACGCACCTGAGGACGGGGGCCTTGCTGCTGAGACGGCTGGGGGCAGACTTGGCCGAGGCAGTTCAGCATAGGCGGATAGGGGAAAGACTGCTGAGGCTGGCCGGAGGTAGGACCTGGGATTCTCGGGTGTTGAGGGCGGAAAGGGTCCATCGGCACGAACGTCTGGGGACGAGAAAGAGGAGCCATCGGAACAGGCGTCTGAGGCTGAAAAGGGGGAGCCAGAGGGTTGAGGTGGGGGGTGCTCAAGAGCCTCCGGGCCGCAATGTTGGTCGGAGTGAGAGCGCGAGGGGCGGGCTGAGGAGTCTGGGGAACTGGGTGGGAGGGGCCGAAGCCGCCGTGGCGGGAAGGGTCGTGATGGACTGGGCCATGGTTGATGTGATTGGTGACGCCGACGCTGGCGAGGTCAGTATTTCGATTTGCCAACTTGAGATAGGAGAAACTTACTTCTTGAGAGAGTTGTCTCCAGAAGGCTTGATGCGAAGGTCGTCGTTGTCGGCCTTCTGACGCTTGGGGGCAGGGGGGCCGGCGGCGCGGTCAGACGCGTCGGTCGAGGTCGAGGGAGCTTCCTGGGTAGCCATTCTGTGAAATTCCACTACGGAGGCGCGGCGATTGCGTCGAATATTCTCGAGTCTGCGATCCGGCTATGTTACAAAGCAAAGGCGAAGATGAAGAAGGGTTTGTGAGTCGCTTTGTCGAAGCTTGCGTTGTTGATGATGATGATGGCAATGGGTGTGGAAGCTACTCGACGAAACGCGTTGATGGGAGAAAAATGGATTTTCAAGGATTTTGGCAAAAGGGCGGAGGGGCTAGTTGTTGTCTCGCGGAAAGGACCTTGGTTTGTTTGTGAGCCCCCTCACTTCATCTGGCTGTCGACGACTAAGCGGAGGGGAGGATGGTTCACCATGGTTGCCAACGACTAAGCGGAGAGGGGGGCGATTCACGATAGATTCTCGGAGTGGGAGATGTCACTGACGGCACATGTGTCACTGTCAGCGCCAGGTATGAGTTGGGTGTTCTGTCTTTATCTTTGGGTTCTATCTTTTAGCATTTCAAGGCAATGGTCTACTCGTAGTCTATATAAAACCTATGACAGCGATGAGGAACGCTGAATCTGTTGACGAAAACTATGCTTTGGTTTTCGTCTCTCCTCCAACTCTCAATATTTGGATATGTCCCTTAGTAATTAAGTGTTGTTATGAGTTGCTGTGTCGAAGTGACGAGGAACAAAGAGTGAAGTACCTCTGAGTGCACCTTGAGTTCTTCACAGCTCATCAAATGCGCTTCAACCTTTCCTACTCATATACATTAACCTTGTCCTCCGCTCGAGGTTCGCCGGGATGCTCCAAGGCGGTTACACAGGCTGATCTTCCAAGCTTTTGTCAAGCGATGCCCACTCAACCATATCGCCAATGTCCATGGCAACGCCGATCGTCGGCTAGTAGCCCACCATGTCCTGAGCGATGTTGCTCTCCAGAAAGGAATTGTCGGCAGAACGCAAGATGACGAGGAGCTACGTTGGCGCCACAGCTACCAGTTGAACCATGACGACCCGGACCCATGCGCTCTCCATGGCTACGCGCTTCACCCGGGCGGTAAATTCTGGCTACTCCACGCTTCTTCAAACTTCGTGGTATGCTAGCGAGACAGCCGCCATGATCTGAGCGTCAATGTCATCGCTCGCTCTCCATATTACACGGTAAGAAAGTAAGGAGAGGGATGAGTAGGGAAAAGCGAAATACTTCCAAGGTCTCGCATTGCTTCTGCGTGTACCTCGCATATTTCGAACGTAGGCCAACCGCAAAACCGTCCATGCGTGCCGTCTTCGGCCCGTCTATTAACGACTTGCTCTGTCCTCATCGCATTCATGAAGACCAGAGTTGTAATGAGCCGACAACCCAAGACCACAGCACCACGTTGATGCGTTCAGATATTTAACCGAGTTACAGCCCTCTTGGCCGTTGATACACACTGGTTGTGAGTGAGGTCTCGTCTGTATTATCGCTCATATCAGGCGCCGCACCGCAAACTCAGCCGTGTATTGAATGTGTAGTTTAGATGGTGACGGTTGTGTATTCACAAAAGACCCTAGATTGATGCCCAGCAGGGCCCGGGTCGTCATGTCATCAACCTCTTAGGAATCCTTCACGGATTGCCACTGCCTATCTCTCTTACTTTTCCCCGCGCCGGGACAAGAACATCTTACAAGAGAAGCAAGCTTGAAGGGGCGTAGCGCGACCATAAAGCTCTGCAAGGCCCTCTGATGCTTGACCAATATTGCCCTGCGAAATTTTCGGCATGCTTAGAGACAGAGGACAATGTGATCCACTTTCGCTACCCATGATCATGGCTGGGGGAATGCAGACTATGAAGCTGGCAGTATTTAGTGCCTCTTGGTCGTGTAAATTGACGTAACCGAGACTGGAAAGCTAGATGACGTGAATCAATCGAGACTGACACGCAGCTTCAGGCTATTCCGCTGCAAGACAAGGAATGAAGGTGTTGATCGGGCCAAGCTGCCGCAAGAGACGCTAAAGTGTCCTTCGGAACTGTCAAACACCCAAATCGCATCTCCAGATCCGTTGGGGATGCTTTCGAGGGCGCAAAGAATTCGCATAACAGTAAGGATCGTCTCGGGAAAGATTCTCTGAGCGCATACTCTGTGTGATTGGTCTGATCTGACGGCTTCGAGCACGGGGTTCCTTGGGTACAGAAATTGTGGAAGAACCTGGTCCCGGGGTTCCGCCTTCCTTCTATGTGATTGACTGGGGGGTTAACGGCGAAGAACTTAAAGAGTCGAGTCTTCCGTAGGAGTAAATATTCTCATAAGCCAGTTAGGTGGTTGAATGTGATTGGGTTGGGCGACGTTTAAGGCCACGGCAACTCCAAGCTTCTCCAAGGTTGGTCAACACACACTACACATGACCCCTTGAAGTGCAAGGTTAGTCTGGGGTAAAGCGAGTCAGGAAGCTCAAGTATAGCTGCAAGCATTACTAACTCACAGTCGTCACTATTGTTTCAACAAGACGCTTCGTGATTAATAAAAGTAATAACAGATTCAATTCGAAGGAGTGTACATGAAAGAAACGTAGGTGAGAAGGAAGTTCATGAGACGGTAGAATTGGGGCCTCAGGTAGCCCTGGCTGCGAATGGGGGCTAAATATAAAGGATCTGGATTTTAATAGTAAGAATAGATGAAGATTCTGCGTTGAGCAACTGGGTATACGTCTCGATAATAGTGGCAAGACGAAAGAGAAAAATGGGTCCGTACTGGGCAGGCAAACCTTTGATAGTGATGTCGAGGAATTCATACTCGGAAATTACGGCGTCTATTGAATCTGCTAGCTCTTTGTCCATTCGTGATACCATATTGACGCCGCCCATGCCAATGGAATGTTGCTACAGCAACCCAACATGTCCCGAGCAACAGCTATCTTCAATACAGCATCGATAGCAGCCCGAAATATTTAGAGGACTTATGTTCGTGCCATAACTGCGGCCGTGCTGAAGTATGTCGTCGACTGGGCTGTGGCTGTCTTTGTGGTAGATTCTCAACACAGGTAAGCTCTGACTACCTTACTCAACGCCTCGTCAGAATTGGTGGTACGCCGGCCTGACATCCACCAACATGTAGCCTTCGAGACCCTCATCCCACTCCCAATATCTTCATGTTTATGACTTTAAAGGGATGGGTTGGCAGAAGAAAAAAAACCAATGTTACCGGCCGAGGGTACAAGTAGGCCAACGCCAGATGTTCCTCATTCATCATCTCGGCCCGTTCATTAAGGACTTGCTATGTCTCCACCACTCTCAAGCAGAGGAAGATTTCTTATGAGCACCCCGACACCTCAGATGAAAATCTCTCCGTCTTCGAGCTTCGATACCTGATCGCATGACACCCCCGCATGTATCTGTTGCACCCTGTGGTGGTTGTACGATCTAACAGCGTTATTACTTAAATCAAAGATTCATGACGAAAGGTTGGCGAATCTTCGAAGAAGTTTGCTTCTTTGTGGCGTCATTGGGAGGCTCGAGAACCATCCCCCCACTCACACTCACATGGAAGATACCATGCTGTTGGTTCTTTGGTTCTTCGGGATGATTTCGAAGTTGTGACGGCGGGCAACTCGGGGGTCGGGGATCGCGGCATACTTAGTCCTGCCGCGGATGCCGTATGGCCTTGAAGCACGAAAGTACTGCAGCTGCTACGTAGGCATACAGAGGCGTCAAGTGATGCGCAGCAGGGTCCGGTTGTGGGGCTGATAAGTTTTCACTCTTCCGAGGATTCTTCTCGGCGTCCATATTTTCTTCTTCCAGTGCCCATCATTTCAGACCCGTAAAAGACAAGAAAAGGGAGTACACTTCTGTTGCTTCAGTCCCTTAGAAGATATGAACAGTGTCGAGATGAAAACGTCGCCCTAACCCAAGCCAGGACAAGGATACCTTGCATGACAGGCATGCTTGCAGCAGCTTTGTCTGACGATAGGCCTCGTCGCGGTCCTCGAATATTTCAGCAATAGTACCCTAAAAATTCTGCGCTTCGATGGACGCAGCGGGAATTAACGGTCGACATTCGCGAATAACGTCGTCATATTGCGTTGCCGGCGCCTTTGGACGATCGAGGCCGAGGCAGATCTTTGGCTTTGATTAGAATCAAGGCGTAAGAAACGATCTCTGAGGGGATCTCTGTGAGAAGCTGGCGTCGCAGAACTTAGCACGGGATACCTGGCCACCTTATGCCACCAGCCGAGGGATGCGTCACATGAATCCAACGGCATCGGGCTGTAAAGCAGGAGATAATGCAGAAAACTGGGCCCGGGGTTAGGTCGCTATTCTAGGTGATTAAGGCGGGAAACCCAGTGCTCAAACTGTACAGTTTGTTTATTTGTGTGCTCAATAAGACAATATTATGCCGAGGGACACTTAAGGTGAAGTTGATCATACTGCGGGAATCTTCCACTCAAGCAAATCCGCTTCGAGTCAGATAATGTCCAGATACACATGGCGTTATCCATTCGCTGTGTAGGTTTACTTCGGGACAACGGACTTCGGGAGACGCCAGCAGCCGTTTATAGGGCCCGACTGTGAATAATCTGAATCTTAGCATCGATAACGATTATTCGGCGTGCTCGCCATGGCCTTGAGCAGTCGTTACTCCCATCTTTTTTTCCTTCAAGCGGAAGTGAATCATTTATATCCGTTCCAGAGCTTGTACCCTCTGGTAGTGGCAGTGGTCTGGGTCTGGGGTTCTCGAATGCCCCATAATGGACGATTCACGACCCGGCGATCATCCCTGAGTGTGGTTCCCAGATCGCCACTCCTCCGATCTCTGCCAGTAATAGTGGCTCTGGATGATCTTGACTGTCCTGATCCGGTCTGGGTCGGCGAGTAACGGCTAGCCATGGACGTCCTCGATGCTTTAGGTGCGTAGAGCCTCCTCCGAGTCTACGGTGATGCGTTCGTCCATGAGAATCAGTCCTTATCTCACTTTGAATTTCCAGTGATCGGGCTTTTTTCTGACCAGCGCGCGGCAACTTCCGAAGAACGGCGTCTTGAACTACAGTGATACGTTTGAACATGT